AGCCAGCTATTTAGCCGTCTTTTAAGTATTGGCTAAATAGCCAAAAAAGCAAAAGAAATTTTTTTAAAATAAAACAAAAAAAAAGCAACAAAAAATACATAAAAACGATAATAAAATACGAAATATAGCAATGCCATCAAATACTTAAAATAAACCAAAATTGTCCTGGATCAAATACTTTTTTGCCTATACTAATAGCAATTTAGCATCCAAATTAAACGGACCTAAGACACAGCCGGCTCAATAGATTGATTTCCAGATGTAGAAAGAAGTTTAAAAAAAGTTACGCAATTAACAATAATTTCAATTTCACGAATAATTTTGATTTATAAATTATTTAGAATAATTTTTTACAAATTATTTAGAATAATTGATGGAATAATAAATAAAAAATTATTCGACTGATAATATATTTTCCTTATGCATATTCGAATCGTATAATTTTGTCATTCATAAAATCCTAATCGATTAACGATAATTCGTTTTAGATATAATAGATATTAGACAACTAAGCAATTTATTTAGATAAAAACATGAAATATTAAGTATTGGTGTTTAATTTTTTTTTATTGTGGGAATGAATACTACTACTGAGAAAAATATTTTAAAAAATTATGTTTGTTAAAAATATTTTTTAAAAATAATAAAATAAATACAAAAAATTTTACTTTAATTCAATGAGTTACTAAATATTATAATGGCAGCTTGTTCCAAAAGTTTTTGACTATCATATTTTGCATGCAATGGTCGGGAAGCATCTTAACAATCCCCTTTAGTTTTCTTTGTATAAATTCACGTACTTAAAACATAAATATAAAGTTTTGCTAAATATCGCTCAATTTTTATTAAAATACAATATTAATTTATAATTGTTAATATTTATTCCTATCTCATATATATATTTAATTACATTTATTTATCACATTCATCTACTAAATTATTTTATCAATTAATTTCGATTTAAAGTTTTCCTTGGCGTAATTTACCTATTATTTTCAAATTTTAGGTGTAATATTTATCTAAATTTCTAGTCAAATAATATTTATCTCTGAAACTCCTTGTCCAACAGGGAGAAAGAAATTGCAAGCTTGTCCAACGAAATCGAGTCTCCGCCCATGAAGCAACATCTTTTATGGAGTTAGAAGAGCCGATTATTAATGCCATTACTGAAATATCGCAATGGTTTGAAAGAAATATTTCCTCAGAAGCAAGAAAATTATTGGATTCAATACTTATTCCAAATTTTTTTTCTCATTTTAATTATACAACTATTTTATGAAATACTTTTCAAAAACATGACAATGACTTGATTAAGAAGATGAGAATAGCGGAGAGCATTTTATTAGAACTCACGGAAATTAGAGCTAACTTTGATTAAGAATTTCATATTTTATATCTTATTGTTGCTATTTATAACCCAAATAAATGAATGGTTTTTAATTCATCATGCAGCACTTACAGATCCTCAGATATTACTTAAACAAAAGCCTTTCCAACCTTTTTCAGGTGGTAATAGAAAAAAAAATATTGTTAGATTTTTATCATGAAGATGTTAAAGTATCTTATGATGCCTTATTAGCTAAATAACTATGTTTATAAAATTAACTATGGCTGATATAGTCCCAAAAAATGCTATTGATGCTTTGCATTCAAACACATTTAAATTATATTCCCAATGTATTAAAAGGGTTTATATATATTAGCAACTCTTCCTATTAGTAAACTAATGAGAGAACATTCTCTTTTTTAAGAAGACTAACAGAGCCCTGCAGAAGTACCATTTGCAGGGCATAGCCCAGATTAAAAAAAATTTTTTTTTTTCGACTCGGGTTTTTTTTAAAAAAATTTTAGGCCCAGCTGGCTATTTTGAAAATAAAATTTTCAGGCCCGGCCCGAATTTTTTAAAAATAAATTATATATATTTTTGATTTTATAGCTAATAATGGTGATTTCAAATATTTGGTTTTAAAATATACAGCTCGGCCCGGATATTTTTTCTAAAAAAATTTTCAAGCCCAGCCCAGGTGTTTTTTTTTTAAAAAATTTCTGTTTAAAAAAATTAAAATACGGTTCGGCTCGGGGCCGGGCCTGCAAGTCTCTGAAAAACATAGTTATGAAATACAACCTATAAAAGTAGATTGAATGATTTGGATCTTTTGAATATTCATAGGCATTTAACGCCAAGCAAGGATAGATAATTGAAAAATTCGCTCAAAACATACAAAATACTTATTCCTAAGAAACTTTTTGTGTATTAATTTATATTTCCAACATTTAAATTTTTTATACTTTATATATTTTAAAGGCTCAAAAAATTCAAATTTCAATTTTGGGTCATTTAAATGATTCATATCATGGTTATACTCACTTTATATTTTATCAATGCCGGTTTATATATATACTTTTTTTGTAACTCACATTAGTTTAAAATTGTGTATTAGAAAAGTTATTAGTCCTAATAAATTTATGCTTAGTATTTTTAATTAACAATGATATTTCTTAAAAAAATTTATTATCCCCCCCCCATACCAAATTCCTGCATACGCGCCTGTTATAGAATGTTTCATGCGATCTACTATATATCATACTCCTTAAACCAACCACCTGTTTAGCTTCAGAAAAAACTCAATCCTTCCTGAATTTGAACCCTAAGTGATATAGACATTCACACTAAACTAATATTTTTTTAATATATATTATAACCATATAAAATGTTAAAAAGAAAATGGTTAATGCTTTAAATGTACGAATATATAGAAAGAAACAATTGGGATTTGATAAAATGTGATCGGGGGTATGAATAATAAAATTGAAAAATAAAGAAAATGTTGTGAAATTTGTAATACCTGGACCAATATCCTCATAAAGATAAAATCAATACGTGGCTAGTGAATAATTCATCAGGATTTATATTATTTTTTTGAAAATTATTGGAAGAAATATATAATAACTGTAGGGGTTTTTTCTAAATGGTTTGAATTTAAAGAAAGACATAAATTTACTACAGGTTAATTAACATTTGGAAAATTATTATGAAAATTTGGTGTTCCGATAAAGATAGTTTATTATGAAGGATCGGTGCTTATTAACTATGTATTTAAACGTTTATGTATACAAACAAGCGAACACCATATAGTCGACCGCTTTATCATCTTAGTTCAATTGGCTAGATAAAATATGGTGCCAATAGTAAAAAATTGGAAAAAAGCAAAAGTCAGAAAAAATAAAATTTGGACAATTGAAATATTAAATAATTAAAAGTAATAAAATTAAATCACTAATTTTATAAGGTAAATATATTATTTTTAAAAAAAATATAGGGCATTTATTTATAATTATTAAATTATAAAATAAATACAAAATGCAATATATACATAAAAAAATGGATGAAAAATGAAAACGTTAGCCATGTTTTAATAAAAATAGGAAGTACATTTGTTAACTTAACAGATTAAATAAAAGGCGGGAAGGAGGTATAAGAGGATTTATTTGAATCACTGCAAACGAGTGGTTGATTCTTCATATCATCAGACTACAAAGTTATTCATTTATTATCATTCCAGACATGTTTTTCCTTTGGAGATAATAAGCATGACCAACAATTTAGAGTAAAAATTCACATTAGTAACTCATTTTTCATATCTATCAAAATTACTAATGCACTATTTTTTTATGAATTTTGTAAAATTGATCTTAGTCTTCCTCAATAAACAATTTCTTCATTAGAAATTTATTGAGCTAGTTGATATTCAATTTTTAATAATAAAATTGCAATTATTAGACATTTATATTAATTAATTTTTTAAAAAGAAAATGAATTATTTATTTTAAAAAAAAGAAGAGACAAAAATATAATAAAAATATTTTTTTTCTTTTTTTATTTATTAAAAAAAGTAAATATTTTTTTATTTGCTTACATACAGCTTTTCTATTCAAAAAATTACACAATTTTCGCATTATAAGAAATTTATTTATAAAAAGTAAGTAGACATATAGTTAATATTCCTCTATTATATAGAATTAGTTACAAAATACTAGGTAAAATTCCACTTTTACAGACATATTTGACAGTTAGAAATTATATTACAGTTAATATTTAACAAATTTTACTAATCAATGCTCTTAATAATAAATATTCAATTATTTAACGCCATCTATTTTTTTAAATAAAAAATGATATTAAAAATTAATCTTCATATTATTCATCGTATAATGTCTTTAAAAGATATTTTCTGATTTCCTTATCAATATTTTATAGTTTTCTGTAAAATATATAGTTCGCTATATTGGTAAAAATTACTTGAATGTCATATGATAATTGATAAAATTAGATATACTGTAAATCTACGACATATTATTCCACTGTTTGCATTGTGCTTTAATTTTTTGATTAAATTTATGATTTAATTTTATCATTAGTTTTATAATTATATTTTACTTTTGTTAAGATAAATAAATTAATATTACTCACTTTATAAAAAATTATATTTGATATATTATATTATTTAGTAATTTTATGGATCTATTATTAATAATTATTATACATTTCACTTTTGTCTTACGATTTATCTTTGCCTTATATTCCTTTTCATATAAATGCTTTTTTCCAAAAATGTATAAATTATGAAGAATTGTTTTATAAAAAATTATCAACTTTTATATTCTTTCTTTCAAATTATTGTTTAAGATATATTCATACATTTTTGAGAGTCAGGGAGTGGGGGGAGGATTAAGGGGGATATTTTTTATTGGCTTAAAAAATATTCACAAAAAGTGATAAATTTCTGGAGGGGAAAATTTCCCCTTGTCCCCCCTCCTGGCTACGCCTATGGTTTATATAAAAAAGCATAAGTATATATTATCTACACAGTTTAAATAGCTATTTGCCGACCAAAATACGACATTGATTATCAGATGTAAATGATTGGTATCTTAACACCTAACCTGTCATGACGTCCTATTATAGATAGACACAGTATATTCTATTTTTTTCATATGATTTTATAATCCAAACACATTCATGAATTTTAAACAGTTCTAAAAAATGGATTTATTAAAACATCTTAAAGGAATATTTATAGATACATCTGAGGAAACAGAATCATTAGCTGATTATGTATTATATTTTTATTTTATTTTATAATTTTAATTTATTAATTTTAAGATTGATTTATTGGTTGAGAGAATTCAAAGCTCATATAGAATAGAAGATAAAATTGAAGCAGTCAAAGCTCTTTCTAATTTCGCTAAGATAAGAGTATATTATTATTTATATGCATGTTTTTAATATTAGCCAGAAATTTAAAATTGATGTTGGTGCTAAAGCAATTGATCCCTTGTTAAACATATTGGAAAATAATCAGTAATAATTATTTTCTAATTGAAATTATATTAGCACAATTAGAACTTCTAATGAATTAATAACATTGTCTCTTGATTGCCTTAAACATATAGTATCAAGTGAAGATGAAATTTTATTAAATGATATAGACAAATCAGATTTACCAAGTATAAATTTTTTTAACTATCTTGATTATTATATTCTAAATTAGATATAAAGTCTGCTGTTATAACAGATGAATTGATAAATTTTGATATTCAATTTACTGAAATATTTTTAAAAAATGTAAAAAATCTGGCAATCATATTAAAATTAACAGAGGTAACCCTAAAGAGTTTTATTATACAATCAATTTATTTAGGAATATGACTATTCTGTCAGATATGCAGCTTTATCATTTTTTAAAATTTTATTAATAAATGCACCAAAATTAGTTCAAACATCTATTCTTAAAATTGAAAATGGTCTATCAAGGATTTTAGATCTTTTGGATGATTCTAGAGAGATTATTAGAAATGAAGTTTTTATAATATTTTAATAAATTAACAATAAATAAATATTTATATTTTGAGAAATTGTTTGTAACTTATCCTGCATATATCTGTAATATTTTAAATATTATATCACTGACTAAGTAGTAAACAATTTTCTTATAGATTGCAAATAATTTAGGCTAATCAGCATTATAAAAGTTATATTGGGATCAAAGGCCTTATTTGGCCAGGCCAGTCCATGGCCCATAAGCTTGGCCAAATATTATATTTTCTAGAGGGCCTATGTTGGGCCTGAAAAATTTTAATGGGCTTAAATTTTTTTAATATAAATGCTACTTAAAAAAAATATTGCAATTTTTTCTTTTAGTGTTTTAGGTATTGGAAACAAAATGATTGCTTAAATGCATTTTTATTAAATAAATTAAATTTTTGGATATGGGTTTGAAAATTTTTTAAATATTAAATATGGCTGAACTTGGGCCTAAACATTTTTTACTGAGAGCCTGGGTTGGTTTTGATCAAATAATTAAGGCCCATGAAGTTCTCTGATCAGCATAAGGAATCCATTGGATTTGGATTCTCTCAATTTAATCATTTTTTGAGGTTAGTTTAATTTAATAAATCCAAAATATTTAAGCATGTGTATAGAGTTCACATACTGAATTTCAAACAATATTGCCATAAACTTTAGAACTATTCTTAATTTACATTGATTTTTATATGATAAAACTAATATTACTAACAAAGACCTTGAACTTCCTCTGAAATATAATAAACTTAATTACTTCCCACTTATGATATTTTAGAATTGACACTTTTAATTGATATTTTATTTTCCATAAATTTCATTTTAAAATAACAAATTTTTCCATTAAAAAAAATAGTATATCAGAACAGAAAGTTTTTGTTTGAAAATATAATTTTAAAAAGTAAGTTTTTATTTTAAAAATATAATTTTCAAAAGTGAAAAAATAATCATTTTTGTAATGAAAAATTATTTCTTCAAAAAATAAATCAAATGATTGACGTTTAATTTCATAATAATAATATTTCTTTTCTTTTAAACCAATCAACACTATATAATAGCATTGATTGACACACTTCATAGAAATGTATATAATTATCTTTAAAATAAGCACAGTGATGACATGCCACCCCTTTATGGGCCAGAGGCATTCATCCAAAGAAAAATATATTGAAAACAACATCTGATATATAAAATAATTTGAACAAAAAAAAATACTACCAATATATACTAATATAATATATATAATAATTCGATGGATCTATGTTAGTGTAGTAGATTGTTATCTAGTGACAAAAAAATATGTACTATAGTTAGCTTACAGCAACATCTGACTTTCCCATAACTCCACCGCACTGCTTATTCCTCCATCAAATAAAGTGGCGGAAGTGCTGGGCGCATTTGGACCGATGGTAGCTACAGCTCGATGAAGCAAGTCACTTGGGTCCAGCGAAGTGGAAGCACTCATACCATCATGCTAGGAATCATGTCTCAGTCTCACCAATTGGGATCCAGAAGTTTCTGCGGATCTCTCGTTCCAGAATGTCAGGTTGTGGTCGGTTCCTAGATATTTCCTTGGCTAACCTTTTTCCAGTCACGTTGGAGCCATTAGCCGAATTATTTTGATGGACTCCCAAAGGCATTCGGGCCCCTATGGTTGTTACTGCGCACTGGCTACGGATGTGATTATCAGCGTTGCAGTTAAAGCAACGTCTCTTTCTAGCTCATTGGGATATTCTCCTTCTGCCAACCAGAACCGATATTTACTCCATTATTTTTTGGAATGAGCGTGATCTGGACATAGTACTCCCTGAAATCCACTAGCTGTGAATTGGTTTTCATTGCAATAATTTAATTTACAAAATTTTTTTTTTACAGCAGTATTGAAAGATTTTTATTTTTTTAATTAAAAATAAATTTACAAGAATTTTTAAAATAAACATAAATACAACCTAGGAAAAAGAGAAAAAAATTTTTTTTACTAAAAATACTAACCCAGACATGTGCATCGCAAAGTTCAAATACACTTAAATATTTCAAACATCACTTCCGTTTTCCCTTTTCCTCCTGTCGTTAGCTTACAATGAAAAAAACAACAACTGTGGAACAAAAATATAAACAAAAAGAGAGGGGAGAAGATAAAAAAAAATACTTATCGACATTGCCAATAAAAGATTCTTTTTATTACCAATAAAGAATTCCTTTTTCTTTTAAACAAATGTAATTACAGCCATAATGCAAAAAGGTCATTTATCAGCCAATGACTTATCAGCACCCCAAACCTTCTAATCATTTCTCTTTTCCTTTTTTTATATATCTTAGTTTTGAGGTGATCGTTATGCCTCACCACAAGAACCCCATTGTTCAATCTGATATAACTCAATTTCGCCCCCATATTCTGTACTATACTTCCCTTTTCCCTTTTCCCATTTTTTATTCTTATTATCGAATAAACGTGCCCAGACCTTTTGTCTTACAGGAAACTTTGTCCCTGCTTTTTTCCCCAATAAGCCAGTATCATTGCCCTTTGGTTTTAAGAAATCTAAGGGCCCCCGTGTTCGTCTACTAAAATAACTTCACAGGCCTAACCTTCTCTCGATTTCGAGAATTAATGTAATATAATTGAGACATGTAAACCTCATCTTTATGATTCCCAGCCTTTTTAATCCAATTTTTAACAATCGCTACCATCCTCTCAGTTTGTCCATTTGAGCTGGGATGATATGTTGGAGCAATAATGTGTTTCTGTGACTCAGCACAAAACTGTTTAAAATCATGACTTATGAAGGCTGGGCTCCCATCAGACACTATTGTGTCAGGTAAACCAAATCGGGCATATAATTACTGTAATTTCCTATTAACAATTTTTGTGGTATAACCGTGAACCTCTGCTATTCTATCCACTAATAAGTATGACTGTATTTAGATCGAAGAAAGCGACGTGAAGACGTTCCCACGGTTTCTTTGATCTGGCGCACATTTGACCTACCTCTTTACGGGGCATAGGTGCACAGGTATTACATGGAACACATTTCCTTGTAATCTTTTCAATATCACTACCCGTACTAGGCCACCATACATATTCACGAGCCCAAGATTTCATCTTATCCCGACCCTGATGTCCAGCATGTAATAAATTAACAATTTTACCACGTAATTTGAAAGGAATTACGGCTCTATTTCCCCTCATTAAACAATCATCCACCACAGACAATTGATTTTCAATTTTTTTAATTACAATTATTTCTCCACGGTTTTTTCCCGTTAAAAACACTTTTACGGGACTCAATTTTTTATCTACAAAGTACTGAATTTAAGGTCTTCTCAATTGGTAGGACCCCCTTTTAGCATATGCGAAAGAGAACAAACCAATGCTTTCTCATTAGCCATTACTTTATTTTTCTAAAATTCTAGATCTTCCTCACCCGATCCCAAACGGGATAAAATATCAGGCATACAGTTTTCTTTGCCTCGACGATATCTAATTTCACATTGAAATTTCCCACTAATAACAACCAACCAGTGACGTATCCAGGATTTTCTTATGGGGGGCGGGGGGATTTTTTTTGGGCCTTCGCCTCCAAACACCCCTTACCTGGCCTTCGGCCAGCTTTTCCCCAGCCTTTGGTCGGGTCTTATATTTTAGCTATTCTATTATTCATAATTTAATAATAATTATATTTCTATTATTAACTATTATTTACTAATTCGTGCTTATGGATATTACAAGCCTATTTTTTATTATTTTAAGTTAGGTAAATTACATTTAATTAAGTTTTTTTAAATGTAAATTTGAAATAAAGTTTAATGTCATTTTTTTTATAAAATTTGCTTTAAAAACTAGCCTCAGCCTAAATTCTCATATAACATAAGTAAAATATAATTTTTTTGTGAAAATACTAATAGTAGTGTGTATAAAATATTGACTAGAAAATAATTTAAAAAACAAGTTTTTTTTAACTTCATCAAATACAATATTATACAAAATATTTTATTAAATACTATCATTATAATGTGATTTTTAATTTTCATGGGAATGTTGCCAATTCATCAAGAATTTCGTTTGTTGTTGGAGCCAAATCTCTGTGGATATTTAACAGAGCTAAAGCATTTAGCCGAGATTCGGAAGTAGTACTTCGTAAATATGTTTTCAACCATCTCAAGTTGGAAAAAGTCCTTTCATTCGTACATGTTTAATACATGCAAGAATATAAAACAACTTCAAAATATTAGGAAATTGAGCCAAGGTTTCTTTACACCGATTGAGCGCATCATTAGAATGCTCAGGTAAAATAGCTAAACGTAGTAAATATTTATACCACAATCGAATTCACTGATTAAATTTATTTCAGTATTAATATCATAGGAATAAAATTTTGCTAAATATTTATTTTACTAATAGTGGCATTGGAAAACGAAGAAGGATCTTTGGGTAATAAAACTTGAAGATTGCTAAAGACTTGTTATTTATCTAAAAACCGTACTTTTATTTGCGATAAAAAAGTATCTAAGAATGGGATAATGGATATTTTATAATATTCTTCAGTTGAGCCAATATTTATTTTACATCTCAATAATTGCCTAGGTGCTAGACGAGGTTTAATTAGTGTTATATCATAAAATTTAGCCTTCGATTCAACGTCTAGATAAATATTATGGAAATATTCATCTACATTCATTTTTATTGTATCTACCTGTTCATATATATTTTCCGCCAAATCAATTACCTGAACTAAATCTAAATTTAATTTTTGTAAATTTCTACAAAGTAGTGAGCTATAGGAAAATAATTTATTGATGCAACTAGCAGCAATGATAAACTCTGATTGATCAATTGAATTCAATAATGATATCGCTTCTGAGGGCATATTACTTTTTTCATGCTCAGCCTTATTTAACTTTTGTATTTCTATTTCTTCTCTTCTACAAAGTGGAAGTAAAAATGAAAATATTTAAAAAATTATAGATATTTATTAATAATTAAATTATTATTAAAAATACTTATTAATTCTATCTCACTAATTTTGAATAATGTTAATGTACTCACAAGGAAAGGAAATTTTAATAAATTTTTTTTATAATAAATAAGTTATATGTTGGAAAATTGATATTCAAATATTTGTAAAATTTTGATTGGGGGGTGGGAAGGGTGGTAAAATTTTTATTAGCCTACAATGATATATATGAAAACAGTCAAATTTACTATGGGGGAGGGGGTGATTTCCCCCTTTACCCTCCATTGGTTACGCGCCTGCAACCAACGTTGTAATCTGGGAGACAAGATTAATTCTCTATTATCCTTTTTGAATAAATGAATTAAGGGTTTATGAACGGTATAAATTACAAATTTTTTCCCGATTAAATATTCCCTACATTTGGTTAATTAAAAATAACGGCTAACGCTTCCTGTTCAATAACAGAATATCGCGTTTCCACTTCCTTAAAAACTCTTGAAAAAATAAAATCGATCTTTCCAAACTAGTGTTCACGGCTAATATTATTTCCAAATCATTTTAAAATAAATCACACCAAAATGGGTTCTTTCCCAATTTCCCGTTTCAATGTTTCAAACGCAATCTGTTGTTCCTTGCCCACTCAAAAGAAACTCCCTTTTGTAATAATTTATATAAGGGTACGGCAATCCTTGCAAAATCATCCAAAAATCTATGATAACAATTAACCATACCAAAAACGATTAAACCTCCGCTTTTTTGGTTGACTGCTTCATGTTCGAAATATTTTTAAATTTTTGTCAAGAGATTTTACCTCCATCCCATTAATTTGATGTCCTAAATAGATAACCTCGGTTACCCCAAGAACACTTTTTCTCTGCTGGCCCTCAGACCTATATCATGAATCCTCTTGAAAACTTCTTCCAATCTTTTATTATGCTGTTTCAACGTTACTCCCGTAATCAACACATCATCCATATAATAAAAAACTCCTTCTAGGCCCTTTAAAACTGATGCCATAGTACGCTGAAAAATCGGAGCTGACACTAAATCCAAACTGTAACATACAAAAGGCAAATAATCCTTTAGGAGTCTTTATTGTTAACAATTTACGAATTTCCTCCCTCAAAGGTAACTGTAAATAAGCCGAAGCGAAATCAACTTTGGAAAAATATTTTGCACCCTTTAAATTGGCCAAAATTTATTTTCTGGGCAAGAGGTAAAGGGAAAACGGTAGTGATGTTTGAAATATTTAAGTGTATTTGAACTTTGCGATGCACATGTCTGGGTTAGTTTTTTTTGGCAAAAAAAATTTTTTTCCCCCTTATTTATTTTTATTTTTTTTTCCTATAAACAAATAAATTATAATATTTATTTTGTGTCATAATTTTATTTTTGTTTGAAAAAAAAAATTCTTGTAAATTTATTTTTAATTAAAAAAATAAAAATCTTTCAATACTTTGTTGTAAAAAAATTTTGTAAAATTCCAATGAAAACAATTCACAACTATATTGGATTTCGGGGAGTACTATGTCCAGATCACGCTCATTCCCAAAAATAATGTAATAAATATCGGTTCTGGATGGCAGAAGGAGAATATAATTCAATTCCAAGGAGCTAGAAAGCGACTTTGCTTTAACTGCAACCTGATGATCACATCCGTAGCCAGTGCGCCGTAACGACCATAGGGGGCCCCAATGCCTTTGGGAGTCCATCAAAATAATTCAGTTAATGGCTCCAACGTGACTGCAAAAAGGTTAACTGACAAATTTTGGAACAAGAGATCCGCAACAACTTCTGGATCCCAATCGATGAGACACGATTTCGAGCATGACGGTACGAGTGCTTCCACTTCGTAGGGCCCAAGTGACTTGCTTCATTGAGCTGTAGCAACCATCGCTCCAAATGCGCCCAACTTCCGCCACTTTATTTTATGGAGGAATGAGCAGTGTGGTGGAGTTATGGGAAAGTCAGATGCTGTTTTTTTTGTCACTAGATAATAGCCTATATTAACATAGATCCATCGAATTATTACATATATTAGTATATATTGATAATATTTTTTTGTTATTAGATAACAGCCTATATTAACATAGATCCATCGAATTATTACATATATTAGTATATATTGATAATATTTTTTTTGTTATGATAACAGCCTATATTAATATAGATCTATCGAATTATTACATATATTAGTATATATTGGTAGTATTTTATTTTGTTATTAGATAACAGCCTATATTAGCATAGATGCATCGAATTATTATATATGTTAGTATATATTGATAGTATTTTTTTTTGTTATTATTAAAAAATACACAAAAGTTTATGACTAAGATTGATATTTATAGGGTTTACTTTACACATGCTGGAATACATTTCAAATTGAATTGGATTTTAAAAATTTAAAAATCTTTTATATATGATTTAAATCCAGAATTTCCAAATCCCCATGGATTCCATATTCCAATAGCAAATATATAAATTTATATCCATTAATTTTTAACAAGCCTAAATAAATTTTACTATAGGCTTTAACATCATTAGTCCACTTATCACAAGATGACAAAGATCTTCAAAAAATTATTGCATTTGAGAATGGATTTGAACACGTTTTAAGTATCATGAAAATTGAGGATTTTAGCAATGGAGGTTTATATAATATTATTCTATTTAATATGTAAAAAATGTCTTGAAAAATATTTAATATCTTTGATTCTCAGTCTCTGTTTAATCCATTTAGAAAAAAATTTCATTGTTTATATATTTAATATTTCTTTAACAGAATATTTTATTTTAAAAATATTATTTTGCTAAAGACCCTTAATTTATTTATACCAGATATTTACCAGATCTAGGACCACTTCTTGCCACTTTGGATTACAGTTTTTTAAATAGCTGATTCTTACTTTTTTTAAATATATTTTAGTATATTTATTTAAGAAAATGAAGATTTAAAGCCAAAATATTTCTTTAAAAATATTCTTTTGTTTAAAATGTAATGGGGAGTTTATAAACCTACAATATTAAAACAAATAAACTGTCTTTGGATTAATAAAATATTGAATCAATTACATTTAATCTATTGTTGAAGATAAATAAATTTTATTGTATTAAATTTATATTCTATATATAGGAGAAACATGCTCGGATAAATATTTTTTTAGGATTCAGTAACATATTGGATTTGGACATATTTATTTTACACTCTAAACAAATTGAATGTTATTCATAACACTGATAGTTATTTTAATTTTAATAAACCATCCTTTATTTCAACTTATAATAGAAAATATGATTATCTTTTTAAAAATTAAGCTCAGATTACCGATCCCTCTTCCATTCATTACCTATTTTATTATTTCGTTTTTATTATTAAAAAAGGCGTGATAACGGGCGATTGTTGTAAACTTTTACTCAATTTGCTCAAAAACAATATATCCAATCAAACATTGTTCCGGGAGCAGAACTACATTCAAAACTTTGGTATTCCATTTTTGGATTCATTACATCAAACCGATCCAGACCGAGACTTTCAAATTTCTCTGGTAGCGGAAAATAATTATTTGAATCCACATACTGATGGAGACGACTTGAACCCTCAAAAAGTTGCAAACACTTCGCTCATTTTGAAGGTTTATCCAATTTTATAAATATATTTGATAAATTAAATTCTAAAAATGATTTATACTAGTTAATCAAATTATTCGTCTCTCAAACACTAACGCCTTCCGCCCTCGTTTCATCGCAGAAATCGATAACTAAAAGTAGTTTGCTGCAAAAAATAACTGTCAACATACTTATGGCCAGTGGAATTCCGTCCAACCTTTTGATTCAAGTTTTTAATTTTCATAATTGGATATTTTATTTTTTGGTGTAATTACTATTTATTATAACACCATCAAAAAGTCACGCCCTAAAAAATGGTTTACGCTATGAAGGATTTTCATATAGTATGTATATCATCGTTACATAATTGATCCTCTGATTTACAAAAAAGAAGGAATTTGAATTTTTTATTTATTCAAATTTTGACCATATACATTGGAATGAAAAGGCTATTTTGATTTATAAATTTTTCCTTTTTAAATATAATATCACTAGGCTATATACACGACTGCTCAAATTATTAGAGGATGCCAAGAAGGCCAGGAATTTTTTTCAAATCTAATGGCTCCCTCAAATCCTCCTAAGTAATAGTTTTATAGTACACATTTTCATGTTTGCCCGATAGATTACTTTAAATAGCTTCCTTTTATATACGAAGAGTTAAAAATAGTGCTTACAAGCCTATAAATTGAAAAATTAAAACATTTCACTTTGAACCTCCTAAATAATTAAATTATAATTATACTTATACTTATTTAATAAAATTTATAAATTCTAAAAAGTTTCAACTAGTTAAGTTCATCAAAAAATATAATATAATCGATTTTAAAAAAATGTAACTTATCTTTAGCTACAACTCAGTGGCGTCACTCTGGGGGAACAATTGGGAGTTTGAGCCCCATCAAAATTTTGAAGAGCCCCCTCAAAAAATTTGAAACTATGCATTTTGAAATGTGTTAAACGGCTCGATTCAGTCGATTTTAAATTAAGATTTTTACCAAAATAATATTAATCAACCTTGGAGATCTCGTTAATAAATTTTCAAACCTTTCTGTTATCTTTCAGCAAAATATCTATGCTTGCGTAATATTTTTTAGCTAAAATATTGGTGCAAAGTCCAATTGTAAAAAATTCTAATTAAATATGCTTTATATTTAAGTGTATAGCAATAATACTAATTTAATGATTTTCTCTATTTTTATACTAAATATTTCCCATTTTTAAAAAAAGAGACTTTTCTTGTGTTTTAATCCATTTTTTAGTTATGATATTCAATCAGGCAAAAAAAGAAAGAATAGGAGGGAAATATAGGATTAATATTTTTTCGGTTCATTGGATTGATCTAAATTTTATTGTTGATCTTACTTTGTTCCACCCGAGCCCGAATTTTTCGCCCAGTCTGACTTTAACTCGATAAAAAATTTGGAATTTGAGTTTAGTATAATATCTAAGGTAAAATTAAAATTATGTGTATTTATTCACATATTGCCACCAAAAATATATTTAACCTCCATAAATAGTCTATTATCAAATGTTAAATAAAGTTGCAAAACCTAGTATAACATTATATTTAACCATAGAAAATGATGTATGTAAGTAATAGAGTTTAACTAGTCACAATACAAATAGCATTCATAGGAAATTGTTAATTTGGGAAGTGGAAATTTAAATGAAAAATGACATATGATTCTGATTGATATTTCGATAAAATAAAATGATTATTGAGAATATTCATGATATAATTTTCGAGCCTCGGGTCGGACTTACGGCAGCTCGTGCAGAGCTTACTAGTAAAAGCTATCCTAGAAAAAAGGTAGCTTATCTATAGTCAGATTTTTGAACCAGAATCCATTTTCGTTTTCAAACTCCAGATATATCTATAAAGTTACATAAAACTATAATTTAAATTATTTTCTTATATTGTGAGGTGAGAGGTCGGAGTTTTTAATGAACTAACATTTTTTTAGAGGCGAATTAATCTTTCCATTGATGAGATGATAACAAACAATGTTTTGACCTCTTTAACACTTAGTAAATTTTTCAAACAGTAATAAATTTCATTATGCTAAAAGGCATGCCCACAATAGCTTTATTTTTTAATGTAGTTGACACAAACTACTCGTTAAAAAAATTTAGCTAATCTGTAGCTATAACTATTGAAAAAGTCGCTGCAGACTACTGTCAAAAAACGTTAATTCAATACATTTTTACATCGATTTTCTTTTCAATGTCATTGTCAAAAAAACTCAAAATGGTCATCTTTTTAACTCAAATTTCATAAAAAATGAATACAGAGTCATAATTTGATCGATATTTTACTAATTTGATTTAAAATTTAAAAAAGGAAAAATAAATTTATCAAAATTTGAAGTTAATTTATATTTTTTTCCCACATGACTGATTAGACCATTTCTGGATATTTTGTTGACTTCCATGTTAAACGAAGGAAAGCCTTTGAGGTTGCGAAGATGCATTCTTTACTTTTTCCATTCATACTTATATAAAAATTCTGAGTTGCAAGCTGAAATATTATCGTCTCTCTTATCTACAACCAAAGGTACTATTTTTTAATATTTATATATTCTTCGTATGAGCATATAGATTTCCATTTAAGTTTACCTTTGAATTATTTAGACATAATTTATATCTATAATATTTTTAAAAAAATTGATTTTGTAGACAAAATTATTTTGCCAAGTTATAGCTTATAACTTTAAAATTTATTTTAACAAAAACGTTTTGCATCTCATACTGATTTATACTGGTCAAGCTTATCCAACTAATATTTACGTGATTTAAAAAAATAGAATAGGAACCTTAATTATTCTTATTGTTATTTGTCAATAAAAAGTATTCAAATTATTTATACATCTATTATTTATAATAAGTAAACACCGGTCGTATCCTTATACACGCCCTGCTTAACACCGAACAAGAAAAAGAAATAAGCCGTAGCGCTAAATGTAATAACATGAATTGTTGGTTCGCATCTCTAGCACTTTCCTATACTATTTCTAATTCGGCATCTAATCAAAATACAAAAAAGTTTGAATTTTTTTTAAAATTTACCCGATTGTAAATAATTATATTGTTTTTTTGAAGTATAAAAAGAGATAATCGGGAAATTTTGCAAAAAGTTCGGCTAAAAGCTTTGAATTCTTCCAACGAAAATTTTCGATCTGAAAAGAATGAGAAAGAAAATAAGGTTGAAAGTGTCGAAGTAGGTAAAGAAATGGCCGATATTTCCCTGTTGCAATGTTTGATGGATAATCTTAAAAAGGTTTTTATTTAGAATTTGAAATTTTTTACTGAAATAAGGATGATAGCACTAGTGTTGTTAAATAGCCCGAGTCGGCTGGAAAATTTGCTATCTGTCGAATAAGTTTTTAACTACTATTTGATCGAATTATTCGTATAATTTCAAATTATTCGAAGTAATTTGTATGTATTCTAAATTACTTATAAATATTCAAAATTATTTGTAAATATTTAAATTTTCATAAATAGTCAAAATTATTCCTAAATATTTGAAATTATTTGTAAATATTTGAAATTATTTGTAAATATTTAAAATTATTCATAAATAGTCAAAATTTTATTACTAAACATGTGAAATTATTTTAAATTTAACATGTTGCTTGTGGAACATTTTACTTTTTTCCACACCTATAAATCACTTTATAAAATTATAATAATCCATTTTTTCATTTTTGAATATATTTTGAAAGAATTTAATGATCGAATCATTCGAAGAATCAAATTGAATAATTATATTATACATACGACGAATAATACAATTATTCGATTTAAAAATACGAATAATGCAAATATTCAAATCGTAATCGTATTTTTATAGGAAAGTTAGTGGTATTAATACGTTAAACAAATGCTGTAATTTTTAAAATTTAGCACTTTTTTGGGCTATATATCAAAAATAAGTTGGCAGATTTAGATTATTGTTTTAAAAATCAAAGTAATGATTTGAATCACATCATTTTATTTCAAGCATAATTTTTCATATGTTTTAAAAATTTGACAAAATTTTAAAACTTTCACAAATTTAACAAAAAATTTTTAATAAACCATTACAAATTTATAAAATATTTTAAGTTTTAAATATTTGTAAAAAAAATTTAACGCTAAAAATAAACATATTTTCATTTATTATCATTTTAGACCAAAAACCTCCACTCCAAAATTGGAATGTTAATTTTTCTTTCTCATTGGTTGGCTGGTTCTAGTGCATGCGTAAAAGCTTTTTTGTCTGATCCATACGGTGCCAAAACAATTAACGGAAACATTACATTTGTATTCTAATTTCATAATATTAAATATTTTTACTAATTGATTAATAATCAATCAAATTATTTTCTATTTTGCAAATTACTTAAAGGTATTTAATTCTAATATTATATTATATATCTTCGTTTAATTTTTATGAAAAATATATTTATGATAATTTTTTATTAACTAATTCAAAAATAACAATAAGCTCACAGCCCAAATCTCTTCAGAACACGAAGTCAATGCTCCAACTCTTTCCCGAGCAGTACAAGGCCTCGCTGCTTTTGCATTCGGGCTATGCGTGTTGCAAGGAGATGACCAGACCTCGAAAGAAAGCCAGTATTATTATTTCTATAATTATATATACATCTATTAAAAATACGGGATAGGAAGAAATTTTTCCTTTAGTACTGCAAGATTTAAATTTTTTGAAATTTAATCCTTACAAGGGAAAATCTGAAGGGTATAGTCAACAAGAGACTGGGTTCAGAGAATTACGTCAATCAATTGTGTCAGCTTAGGGAATTCGAACGTATAATGACAGATCAAAACATAGAAAAATGTTTAAACAACGTTTTAGCGAAAGAAAATATAGGCGACAACATTGAAAATCCTGAGACTTGTATTATTATTATTGATCTATGCGTGCTAGATCAGGAATTTATGAAGATTTTCAATTTTTATGAAAGTAATTTTTATTTATTAGAATACGCTTTCGTTATATTGAATTAATGGTATTCTAAATCGCTACTTTAGATAGTTATTAACGAATAATGACCTTAAAATATTTTTGCAATTAATATAAGCTTTACGGTATACAAATATTACATTACAACCCACAAATATAATTAAAAATATTTACTTTATTTAATTATCGGACATATTTTTTAGGCCAGCGTTTTTTAAAAAATTCCCACCTATCTAGCCAACCATAACCGATTTCATATAAGGGAGCCCGCAAATAGCTCGAATAAGTTATTCAGGACAAGCCTGGCTCAGACCTGAAAATTTATTTTGCCTTTTTTGTAAAGATTAAATGAGAAAATATTTTCCGGGATTAAAATAGCATAATTACTGATTTCTATTCTATTTCACTTTACAAATTTGTTTAATTTATATTTTTACAAGGACTTAGGGAAAATTGAATTTACACTTTGCAGGCCTATTTTTTAAAAAATTAAATATTAGGAAAACGATGGTGCATGCGGGTCTGCTTTATTTCATTTACTTTATATTTTTGATGGCCTATATTATCCTAATAGATGATAAATATGTTAAATTAAATATAAAGCCTTTATTCTCAAACAATTCGATAATGCCAATCTTAAAAAAGATAACTATAAGATGGATCAAATAGATTATGTCACCAAGAAATACGAAAATACCATTAAAGAAAAAGTTTATTAATTTTTTTCCTTAAAATCTATTCTAATTTTTATTAAATTATAATGGGTCGTTTTATCGGAGTAGTTTCTATGGAGGGAGGGACAAGAGCTTGCTCAGATTGCCTAAATTTAATTTAAGCATGCTGATATCAAGATAATTTACGTTTTAACAGTCATCTAACTGTGCTTGAAAATAAAAGCAAAAAGTTTTGAATTTTATTATTTTTTTAAACTATAAAAAGCTTTAATTTTTTAATATTAAAAAATAATTTTGGTTAATTTTTGAAAATATGAATCAAAATTTATTGATTTGTTATATGATATTATTATTTCCAGTTACATTGTATTTATTGATTTAAATATAAAAGTAAAAAATTTATAAACAATTTCGAGACGATCTAAAAAATAATTATTATTTTTTGCCGTTATCCCAACCTTAAAACTAGCTACGCCATTGCTTTTAAGTTGTAATACCCAATTAAAATATAATTTAAATAGGATTATTTGACTCATTCTTACTTAGTAACATCTAAAATATTTTTGAGAACTTTTAAGGACTTAAATCACATCTTTTACTTATCTCATTAAAATTACAGACTATTTTAATCATATCTCTAATGTAGAAATTTTATTATTTTTTAGTTTTTCGGCTATATTCAGTATATTTTTAATTTGTATTTTCTTTGAGTTAATGATTCATTTTACTTTAAATAATAATATGTATAAATACAATATTTAAATACTTTGCTAAGAGACTAAATCTGTATTTTTCTTAAAACTTCGAAATTTGTATTTTGCCTGGCTGAACTCTATTTGAATAATATATAATTTATATGCAAAATAGGATAGCTCTATAGGCAACCTAAGCGAGAAATGCGAAGATTATAAACGGCAATTGGAATATTTGGCCTGTAAATACGAAGAGCTTAATTCACAAATGAAAAACTTAACCCTTCAGCAAAATCAGACTGTACTTTGTCAAAGTAAAGTATCTTCATTCCATATATATTATCACGTTTTGAGCAAATTTTCTGAAAATTAAATATATTATTCTTAAATATAAAAGAATTAGCACATAAGTTTTTAAGATAAATTCTTAATATCATGTTCCTCAAACACTTAACTTAATGATGCCATTACATATTCGAGAATATTTTTTCAATATATTTAATAATTAAGTTTTTTAATATCAAAATTTTAAAAAATCTAAATGTTTTGTTTTGATATATTTATTCATATGTAAGCTTTGAAAATATTATTTAGGGGAATACCGTAACCAATGATTTTCACCGAGTGATTGAATTTTTGTTGTATATTTGACAGTGTTGTTAAAACTACTTTTGAGCTACCTCAAGCCGTTAATGTATAAAAAGGTAGCGCTACTCCTTTTTTTTATAAACAGGGCTTGATATTTACTAAGTTAATAGATTTTTAAATGATAATTGATTGAGTTAATAATATCATCCTTTGAAAGAATTTGTTAGGTATTAACATTCATTAAGGGAAGTAATTTTTTCCCCAATAAACTTGAATAGAACCAAAAATATTTGTATAAAAAGCATTAATTTATATTTCGAAATATATTTAAATTTTAAAATTAAATTATTGTAAAAGTTAAAATTTTTAACGTAATTATGAATTAACAAATTAATTTTCTTTTTATAGTTATATTTAAGTGAAAATAAATAAGCCTCGAACGTGCTACTGCCACCCCTATTTTTCAAAAAAATAGCCTGCTATTACCGATTGCTATAAATGAATACTAACAACTCTCATAATTCGGCTTATTTTAACTAATTTAAGATTAATAGTATTAGTTTAATAATTAATCATATTAATTTTAGAATATGAATTAGAGATTTATTCTGTTAAATGATAGTAAATTTGGTAAATTGTTATAAATGACTTATTTATGTATTCTTTCCTCTTTTAATTGCATTTATTAAATTTTTTAAATTAAATTTTCTGGCCACATTAAAAATCCCACCAACTTGTAAAAGAGAGTTATTTTAATTAAATATGATAATATAAGTTGTCTAGCACATAAAATTTCTAAAGGAATCCCGGAAAAAAGCCTTTGGGAGGAAAAATACTTAAGAATTAAAATATCGGAAAAAAATAAAAGCCCATTGAAAATAAAACTATTAAGTGTAATATTCAACGTGAAGAATTATATGTATTGGCATCAGTACGCTTCGGCTCAAGTGAATCCATCAAGAATTTGAAAAAGGTTCTTGCTCAGGTATAAAAATACAAGGACCTTTACTTAATTATTCTGTAAAGGATATTCATAATTTTGATTTATTCAAGATTTAAATGAATTTCCAGAATTTAGGATCGACTCAGGAAAATATTTTGCTAAAGTTTCTCATCTCCATTTATTGCCCGACTTGTTGGCCACGCTTTTGCGCAGGTCGAGCCATGCAGATCTCTAATGTCTATTGTTTCCACTGGCATAACATTTCTCGAGATTAATTAAAATTTCCTTTGGAAAAATATAACCAGTCATTCACGCATTATATAAATCTTATTTTTATCAGCCATTAATATTTGAGAAAAATTTATCACAGGATTATTTCTAAAAACACTACATTTTTAATAATTATAATATGATGTGGATAGGTATTATAAGGGTGCTCAAAAGAAAGAGAACATGATTATTTTGAAGGTAGAGAAATATAATTTATTAGCTTCAAGACAATAAATTCGTAATATATTCTATAGAAAAAAGTCTTTTGATATAAAAAAAATTCATCATTATAATGATTTTTACACATAGTAAAGGCCGCTAAATAATTTCTACTTATTAAACTATTAAGATAAGTATAAATAATATTCAAAAGGTAATGATGGTGGTCAGGTGATTAGTAGGTGAGCATTTTTGTTAATTATTTTTTAATTTTGATATAAAAAAAATTTGATTTCAATTAATGATTTTTAAAAAATCACATAATTTAGATCGTGTTTAAATCAAATTGATTTTTATTTTCTAGTCTGCCTAAGAGACAATTAAGTACTAAATGATATTTTAATTGAATAATAATTTTTAGAAATTATGACTTAAATATATTATAAAGAATATATTACAAGTGGTATTTAAATTTCTAACATTGCAGAATTTTTTTGGCACAACCCCTCACGCGGCTTGGCAATTGTTGATATAGACTCTTGGCCTACTGCAGCACGCCGCCCGAATTTAAGCTTATTAGGGAAGAAATCTCAAACTGAAAATATTTATTTTATTCTCTATTTAAATGTTATGCATTAGTTCTAAATAATATTATAATTAGAATAATAACTTTTAGAAATTGTCACTTAAATAATATTATAATTTTAGGATTATAAGGAAACAACAAGTATTTAATCTCTAACATTGCAGATATTTTTTGACACAAACCCTACCCCGGCTTGGCAATTATTTTTAGATCTAGGCCCATGGCCTGCTGCGGTACACACCCCAAATTTAAGCTTATTTGGGAAAAATCTCAAACTGAAAATATTTATTTTATTCTCAATTTTTATGTTACGCATTAAGTTTAAATAATTAGCAATAACTGATAATTTAAAATATGTTTTTTTATCACAAAATATGCTATAAAAATGAATATTCCCAATTTTTTTTTAAAATTATTTCTAAATTCATTTTATTCTTGTGATCAGGCAAAAGAGGAAAAAAGAGAGTAAATAAACATGAATATTTTTAAGGCCACGGGTATTATATTGATGAAGTTACCACCGGCTGGGCTAACGGCCCACTTCAAGACTACTATAAGTATAAATGAGACTTGGCCATTTATATGTTCAGATCTGTAAAAAAACTCTTCAAATTTTGTAGCATAATATGATTAAAGGGTTTTGCAAATAATGCTCTCAAATTAATGGATATTTTAAGAAAAACAAATTTAAAGAATTTGAAATTGGTGCCCATACCAGGTATTACTGACGCTAAATATCATATTTTAAAAATGAACGAGTAAATAAGATAAATAAAATTAGTGGATAGGGAAATAGCACTAACACGAGATTTGTTAGTTAATATACTTGTATTTTTTAAAATTAATTGACAGTATTTTTAAAACTAAATTTATGAATTATTAAGGATCAAATCATTATCCACATTTTATCAGAAAATTAAAATAAAAACATTTAGATCAACCTCCTCCTCTTAAAATAATTCAATTGCAACAACATGTTCACCCACCTATTCAAGCCTTTAACAACTCTGCCCCCCTTTCTTCGTCTCATCCACTCGTTCCTTTCCAACAAACGACTATGCAGCACCCACAACAGCAAACCTTTGGTTATTACGACCAACAGCAACTAAGTCAGGCTCAACAAAACGGAGATCTTTCTGCTATGTATTACCCCAACTATCAAACTGGAGGATATCAGAATTTTTACATGAACGGGCTATACTACGATTCTAATTTTAAGAATTTCACTCTGACTACTGTTTGTGCGGACCATAGCAAGGCTGGGGACGATGGTTAAAAAATACTTAAATATATAAAACCTTGTTCAAATGGGAAATAAGAATTAGTTTTAAAATATTTTGGAAATTTCAGGGGTCAATTTTAAATTATAATTTAATTATTTAGAAAAAATTGCCTAGGTTTATATTTTTCGAGTATAATTTTTAGGTTTTTATTAGTGGAGCTAGAGCAATAAAAAATTTTTATTTCTTTTTAAAGAATATATTTAATTCTGATATAATTTATTTTATATAAATAATATATATATATATTATTTTTAAAATAAATAATTGATTATTTACATTTTTACAAAATAATTGGTATATTATTGTAATAATTTCTAAAAATTTTTTTAGATCTTTTAATTTTCTCTGATCACATTCCTTCCAAAAAAAGTCTCGGGCAAATTTTTCATCTTCCTTCCTTCCTTCCTTCCTTCCTTCCTTCCTTCCTTCCTTCCTTCCTTCCTTCCTTCCTTCCTTCCTTCCTTCCTTCCTTCCTTCCTTCCTTCTTTAATCATAACCATTACCCAAATTTTTGACGCTTTTTGAACAATCTCTTAGATATCTAGAAAATTTGATTTCTAAAAGCATTCTAAGATTCCATGGCCACATTTTATAAGTAATAAAAACGATCACACACAGATGCTAATATTATTTGCAGTCCTAACTAAGGGTTACCCTGATGTAGCTAACCCATAAGACTGTATTCAAACTACATAGGTGAATTATTACATCCTTCTACTTCGGCTTACTTTTTGGAGTCACTTAGTAGATCACCATCGATAAATCCAAAGCTGAAATTAATTATGTTAAATAAATCATATTTAATTTTTTTCATGACCATGTAGCGCAAAATAACTTAATTTTCTTAAAACGACTAAACTCTTTCTATAAAAATATTCAATTCACATTTGAAATAGAAAGTAAAAATCCCTACTTCTAAAGATAATAAAAAAAATTGTCTCCTTAAATATAAACACATAATATTTCAAAATATGATCAAAAATTGCACCGTCCTCTAACTGTGATGATTTTATCTTAACTAATGTAAGGCACTTTATTTTAAATTAGGACTGTTCCAAAAATACTTTACAATTCTTAAAAAATCAGTATTATCTTTTTTTTAAAAAATCAAGTTTAAGCGAAATCAAGTAAATAAAAAATAACCTCTAGCTCATATATTATATACTAATCCTATTATCATACATAAGGTTTTCTTATTCCATATTTAGTTTGGTAAGTATTATATCAAGAGATTTAATGTTCAAATTGGAAAATTATTTATTGCTTATCTTATCCTTTATGCTAACTCGAACCCGAACCCTACCTTAGCTCATAGTTTAAGGGATAAAATTAATCAATTTAATTCAAATTGTAATGCACTTCTAAACTTAAATAATAATTTTTTTTAAAAATCGGATTACATTTTTACCAAAATCAAATGTTATTTCTATTCTTTTAAATGGCAAATTGGTTCAAAGGAGACAACATGTCAACAACTCCCCCTTGAAATCGAACCCCCGTCTGTGGTCAGCATATTTTAAGGTAATTTTCAATCAAACTAATTTCTAGAATTAACTGCGAAGCAGCAGCAATAGCCATAAAGATATGCCTGATTTCGTTATTATCAAATATGTTTGGAAAAATAAAATTTTTTACCTCTTGCCTAATCCCACCAAAACACAGATATGGCATGAGTTAGTCTTTTATCCATTCGTTCATTTTAGCCATGGTGATTTAACATAAAATTTAAAATTTTTCTTAAGGCTATTTTTCGACTCTGAATATCTACCTTTTTTAGTGACTTAGTGTTCTTTTTTAAACATATAAAAACATGTCCTATCCGGATCTAATTAATATTGAAAAAGAAACTACCAAATTGCAAAAGACAACTATGTATCTGAAAAGGAACACTATGGGACTAAAATAATAAGCATTCTTATTTTAAAAAAATATATATTATTTGTGTTCCATTTCGTCCGTAAGAATATTAGGCAAGATGAAATGGCTCTCATTTCAGGAAGTAACGGAATTTTAGCCTGGGATTACACATGCTTTGACCATTTTGCCCCTTCCATTAGCTTCAACTATGGTTGGAGCGGAAATTTATAAATATAGTAACATACCTAATATCACATTAATCCGGCCATTGTTTCTGACATAATCGGTAAAATTGGATCTAGAGCCTGGAATTTTTTCAAGACACTGGGATATGCTTTTAATTTCAAGTGATCCTCAGGAAGGTTTTTACTTCCTTCAATGATATCAATTGAGATATGTAGATCTCACTGTATATCAATCAAAGATGTGATCAGTCGGAGGCACCCTCTAGCATTTTATCTATTTTTTAAAATATATTCTTATTTTTTTTCTTTAATATATTCTATTTTGATTAGGGCTGTATCGATTCATATACTTTTCACTGATCCGATCCAATATTTTCCGATATTGGCTCAAACCCAATCCGATATTTATATTTATTTTTCACCACCCTACTTTGAACCATATGTAATTAGGAAATCAATATTTTTTATGCAAAAAATCGAATTATGCATTTAATTTAATTTTTTTATTTCTACAATAATTAAAAAAAGTTTACGGATATTGGTAGTATTAAATGAATTTTTCATTATTCCTCCCCGTGAAATTAGAATTCCGCAGATAATGCATTTTGCAAAATTATCTTTATCTTTTGTAAAATATTTTCATAATTCAGATACCATATTTAAAAAAATTCTTTTATTTAAAGTATAGATTATAAAATTGGCGTTATTATTAAAAAAGATTTAGAATAAATAAAACTTTGGGTGTTCCATTATATTTTTATAAAAAAACTTTTAAAATATTATAAATCTATTTTAAAAAATAAATAAAATTTAATGGGTGTTGTTGAATTTGCATTGTTTAAAAAAAATTATTTAGAAAATATTATTAATGTAAAATAAATATGCATAAAATAACAAAAAAAGAAAAGTAATAAGATCGAATCGTTTTTTAAAGGTATCGGCCCGATCCGATATTTTTGGGAAATTATATAGATATTTTATAAATAAAATGAATATCTCAAAAATATTTAATTATAAGGGACAATTATTATTATATAAAAAATATTAACATAAATTGGTCATTAAATCGTCAACAATATAAATTAATTATGTTATTTGTTTTTAAAATTATATTTTTTTATTGGGCTTAAAAATTGCAGTATTCTATGAGATGTATATATATATTTTAAGAATTGTTGATGAATTTATATTTAAAAACATATATAGTATATGTTAATACAAAATTATATGAATAGCGTTTAGAGTAGGCAATGGGGGCTATTTATAATATTCATTGAAATCTTAACATTTTTGGGTTTAAATTTATATTAAAATATGTGTTGTCTCTTTATAGTTGGCATCTATTTGTAGGGTATGGTCTGATTCTCAACTTATATAAATTATTTCTTTGACATTTTAATAATTATTATTAAAATGTCAAAGAAATAATAACAGCTATGAAAATTTTTCGTTTGATAACTTTTTATTGGTTATATTATGTAAAATATTTAATTTATTTCTTCAATTTAAAGCTGATATTGCGGCTAATTTGGGAAATGGTTTAAGCAATAGCATCGATTTGAGCCAATTGCAAGTCGGATATGATAAGGAATCTGTTACTGGCTTACAAGTTAGTATTATATTTGATATAACTATAGTCATAACTTATATTAAAAAATTATGCCTACCAATGGACTTACCAGGGTTTTAAAGCCTAAAAAGATTCTTAACATTTTTTTGAAAATAATAAATTATTGCTTTACCTTTAAAAAAAACTTCATCACAATTTTTATCAATATGCCAATTTGAAGCAAGAGAATGAACGCCTTAGGTGGGAAAATCGTGAATTACAAGAAACCTTGGTCAAACTGCAGAAAGAACAAGAGGGGTTTATGATTCTTATGGAGGATTACGAAAGAAAGCTTGATGCTTATAGCAATCCTAAGGATGAAAGTGTAGGTTCTTCTATTCAACCTTTGGGTAATTTTTTTTATTATTATTACATAAATCAATTATTTTCTCTCTGAATCATTTTTGCTTATAAAGGGAGAGTCCTATATCTCCTTAAGCCTTTGAAGCGCAATGCTTCTCTAGAGAAAGCAGAAAAATTTGTTATTGCATATGATAAAATATGTAATTTATTTAAAAATTGATACATGATATAAAAAACCAAACTAATCAATAAGAATTTTATTAAATGAACATCAGGTGTTGATTTGTCATTAATATTTTATCAATATCTATCTCATAATTTGAGTGAAAATATTTCAGCATTCACTTGCCTGCACGGATTAGCTAATATCTTATGCCACAAATCAAATGGTGCATTGTTAGTTTTTTATAATTATTAAATCTCATTTTTATTGAATTGCAAGTGACCCTAGAAAGACTTATTCACCTTTCATGTTTATACTTATTCTTATATACTCAGTTGGGCAGGTCCCGGCCCGGCCCCAGGTATATTTAAAAAATTTAAAATACGGCCCGGGCATATGTTATATATATAATAGTATCTTAGATACAATATATTTTTTATGAGATAGCTTATTTATTACTTCAGCATATTAAAATATAAAGTTGATGAGGAGGTGGAGATGATCCCGTAATCACAAAAATTCGATATCATTGCTTTATCGCCCAACTGCTATAAAGGATTTGTTTGTGTCCAACAAATGGAAATGGTAAGATGAGTAAAATAACCAACAGAATTACATAAAGTACCATATATATGTTTGGTTCAACAAGCTGAAAGAAATTCCAAATAAATGACATTAAACGATGCTTTATTCTACCAGATAAACTATCCAACAATTTTTCAAATCGTTTAGAATTATTTTTTATCGAAAATAGTAACAAACATGATATTTTGACGACTATATTAAATATTCTTACAAAGAGACATTATAAAAATTTAATAAATACAATAAAGAAATGAATAAATGGAAATTACCCAAATATTACTATTTTTATACTCAATATACTGTGTCCAAAGGGCAGTGAAATATAAACAAATATATTTTATTCTACATTATAAAATAAGATGATGATATTTTAATACAACTATATATAAATATGAACTATAATTTATAAAATTGTTGTTGTCAAATATGAAATAATGAATATTAATTTTAAAATATTAAGATAGGAAAGAAGGAATAACAACCACATTAATGCAAGAATCTATGGGAGAAGTGAATATTGATTTTGAATAAAAATATAAAAAGAATCTGTAATATTTCAAGGAAATAAAAAAGATATCTTGAAAATAAAATATCATAGAAACAGATGTAGATAATTATTATGTATTTTTTAAAAACTCTTAAAAATCTGTATTAACCGCTCCGCTTCTCCTTTGGTTCTTGGGTGGCAAGGGGATATACATTTCTAATTGCTAATTGTTTGCAAAACATACTGAATTCTCTACTTTGAAATGGGGGCCCATTATCCGTAACAAATAGCAAAAAGTCTTAACAATATTATTCTCATTTCAATAAAATTATTTGTCGAAAGTTTTTGTATTTCAGGTCATTTACTAAAACTATCTATTATTACTAGATATATATCTCCGTTAATTGGTTCGGCAAAATCTAAATAAATTATTTCCCATAGTTTATTTGCGGAAGCCATTTCCCTATGATCGTTTTACAGCCAGGGTTATTTGTTTAACATAATTCACAATTCTTACCGTCTATTTCGATGTCTTCGTTAATATTAGGCCATCAAACGTTCTCTCGGGCCAATAATTTTGTTTTAGTATAACCCTGGTCCCCCATATGTAAAAAAGACAAAATTAATTTTTTTTAAATTATGGTTCTTAATCTCCATAATATACCCCTGCCTCCATCGTGAGTTCATTTCGACCCTGGAAGATTTTGAATATTTTATAAATGGGGTTCAGGTTTGGTTCGGGTTCAGATTTATTTTTCCAAAAACCCGGATTTTCTTCTCTGAATTTGGATTCGGTTCGAATCCCTACTCTGGAGAATCCCGATTCTCAAAACTTTCTCGCCCCTTTTTGGGACATCTAACGTTGGAATATTTCTTACTACGATTCCTTCTCCATACTTTCTGTAAATGACCTTTTATCTCACAATTATGACAAATTTTATTTATATTTGGACACTTTGGTTTTATGTTTTCTAATCCACAACAATAACAAATAATTTTTGATACTGGTTTATACTTGTCATACTGCTCGCTTGTCACTGTTTTTGAAATTTTATTTATCTCCTTTCCTGTAGATAATTTGCATACGAAATCATTTTCGTTGTCTCCATTGAGGTAGCAATTTGAACAATCTTTTCCCATTTCAAGTCGAAGTGTTGATTAACTACATTAATATATTTTCATTCGTAATTCCCGACACTAATTTTTCCCTTACTGTATTATACATCTCTTTAAATCACACGTATTTGCTTTTATCTTTAATTTATTTATATATTCTGTAATCTTTTCTCTTTTTTCTAGTTCCATTTTGAAAAAATAATATCTCTCTAGCATAAAATTAGTTTTCTTCGAGTGATAATTTTTTAAAAGTTTATTTATATCATCGTATGATATTTCTGCATGTCTTCCGTAATTACAAAGTAAATAATTTGTAATTAATTTCGTCAGTTTATATTTTTACAAATCAATATAAATACATCAATTAGGTATATTGCCTTTATTTTAGGTTAATTGATTCTATTACAGAATGGATGAAATTGATCCTATGCAAAACTCTATAGTCAAAACATTGATCCTATAAAACCTGGCTAGCCAAAGACATTGATCCTATACAAGACTCAATAACCAAAAACACCTTCATAAATGAAAAGATCGAAATCGATAGTACAAATCAACCCGCACAAATAGCTCTTATCCAAAACGGATAAGAAAACAATTTATACCGTTTCAAATTCTTAGCTTAAAAAAGGAGAGAATAGATGTAATAGAATCAATTAACCCTGAAAATAAAGGCAATAGGATTAATTGTTATTCAAAAATATTTGTTAATTGTGTATTATGATTAATTGATATATTTTTATTGATTTGTAAAAGATATATAAACTGACGAAATTAATTAAAGATATAAAATTATTCATTGTTTTCACGATAGTTCAAATACAAATATTCGTGCTACTGCCCAACTCTGTATAAATATAATTTAAATATAACATGATTAATATAAATAAATAAAATGAGAATAAAATTGCTTTTTAGATATTTTTTCTGGGACATTCCGAAATTTTTTCAATCATTTCGCAATATTTAGTTCCAGGTTCCAAATTTTAAAAAATCAAATATTTTTATCCATAATAGAGCCCTGCAATTATATTATTACGGCAAATTTTTATTTATAATCCCAGCCTAAATTTTTCTTTTTAAGCCTAACCTTTCCTGGCCCGAAAATTTTAATTGAAAAATTATAAATTAAAGATTTTTATAAAATAAAAATATTGCTTGTCCTAATCCGAGCAGGGCCGTAGCTACGGAATGGGGGGGGTGGTGGCAGACCCTCAAAGAAATTTTTTAAAGCCCCTAAACCTAGTCCTTCGAAAAAATATTTGGCCCAAAAAATTTTTCCTGCCCCCAAATTTAAAAAAAAAAAATTAGTTATTAAATTTTAATTCGTACAATTAAATCTAAATGAAAATACAACAAAATTTTTAGAAATATTTATTTAATTTATGCAAATGAATAAACAAGGACATACCTATAAAAATGTTTCTTATAAAATATCCATTCACTCATTAATCCCTCAAATGATTAATTTTGACAAAAGGGATTCAGCAATTGGAAAAAAAGCGTTAGCTGCAAAGAAGGGACTGCTATAACATGAAAGCTCAAAAGCTCATTTAAATCCAATAATATATCATGATAAAAATCTTAATATAAATAAGAATACTGAGATAACAATTCTGTTAAGCCAACAAATAACCATATTCTTATTATCTTAAATCAATATTTGATTTAACGCTATTTCTTTAGCCTCCAGGAGCTTCCTTTGCGTGAGGCTAGTTCACCAAAAATTACGAATTCTGCAAAAGATGAAAACATAATTTCTTGAACCAATATACATCACCCCAAATTCAAAATGAAGTATAATCTATATGGCAGATATGATGCTGGAATATATATCGGAAAAATATAAAAAGGGTGAGATGCCTTTTTTAAGGGTAATGAGGCAAAATAAACCTGAGCATTATTATTCATTATATTTTTTGTGGAGAAATTTAATAGGAATCATTAATTTACAATGGCTTTCTGCTGAAAGCATAATTATTTGTATTTTAGAGCAACTTGGTGAATTAAGTATTAATTCATCGAATGTAATAAGCCAGACATATGATGGTAAAACTTCATATCTGACCTAAATGGTGGAGTAAACCCTGTTCAAAAAAAAATTAATAAAAAACTACCATTGTATAATAATATTGTATTCTATAGTTTTTAAATTTATCTAATGCATTTTATAAATTTTTAGGCGTTTTATCGTATCCTATCATTTATGAGAATTTTGAGCTATTTGTGAAGTATTATTTTACTTTCTAATAGAACTCTTAACTCAGAGGTTTCCTCTCATGATTCAATTGAATCCTCTAGTCTTTTATCTCAATGCGTTAATATAAATTACATATATTGATCATTATAATTTATAAAGTATTAATAACAATAGATTCACTAAATAAGTATCTAGTCAGTATGTACTAATATAGTGATATTAAAAAAATAATTATTTTGATGTTATTATGGCTAAAAAACTTATACCAAAAATTATCAAGGGTACGTTAAACGCCTACAAATTTTCGATTTTTTAAGCGATATTGTGAATAGGAATCTAATTGGAGTTCTTTAATTATTATTAAATTATTGTAGATCGTTTTTTAGATATCACGCAAGATGATCACTCCATTTTTTTTAATTTAAAATACATTTAATTTAAAAAAATTATTTACTAAAGATGTCAACAATCAGGAAGAAGCCTTTGAAATTTTATGCCCTCCGAAAAGTCAAAACCAGCATCAACAACCTTTAAATCCTATTTAACCATTATAAATACGATATGCAATTTTTAAGATGTTTTTTAAGAATCGAAAAATTAAGTTTATAATTCACGATAAATTATTATTTTTTATATAGGTTTGTGTAACAATTATTACTCGCAAACACTTAATGAAAATTAAGATTTCATAAATGACTATCATTATGTTGAAAATTAATTATATTTTGTAAAATCAAAATAATATTTTTACTTTACATCAAAAAACTTTCTCGTTTACCTTTTATGTATTGTGTATAAAATTAAGTTTTATTTTACATATTCTTATAATATATTGGGTTTTATAATTTCATTTAAATAAATTATAAATTTAAAGGTATTATGATCCTTGGGTGTATTTGAATATTGGTGCTGTAAAAGTAAGTCAAAAAAAAACAAACGTGCTTATCTAGTTTTTTTCAGTAATCACTTTCCTCCTTTATTTTATAAAAGAGATACACATTTTTACAAACTTTTTATAAATATAATTCTTTTTACAACCAGATTATTGTTTAGTGGGTATAGTTACAGTTAAAATTTCTACAGTTCATTATATAATTGATGAAAATCCCATAGTAGTACATGTTTAAATCAAATTATAAATGTTAGAGCCATTCATCAAAGTATCAACCCATTCGAAAAAAAATTTTTTGTCTGACTTATCCGATCCAATATGAATTTCAAATATCCAAGTCAGATCCAACCCGTTAATTTAAAAATAGATCGATCCGATTTATTTTATATTGGACAGTTAAAAAAGCATGTCATTACATGGAAATTTGAAATATCATAAATTCAAAATAATTTTTTTTGAGATCTGAATCTAATTTGATCAAACCAATTTTAAAATTAAGGTTTAAATCTAACTGAGAGAAAATGTTAGCCTGAATCCGACCATCACGAGTTTGGTCAGATAAATTGGCGGCAGGGATATGATAAGTTATCAAAATAATTTTAACACCTTATCAATTTTTAAGAAGAAGAATGATTTGCCTAATGATTATTAAAATATTATAAATTATTACAAGCTGTGTTATAATATCAGACATTTATGCATATTTTAAAATTAAAATTCGATTTTCACAATGTGATGCAATGTTATTTCTTTATGATCTAAATCTCTATTCACTTTGGCTATTTCATCTACATTGGTGGTAGAAAGTAAGGTTGGATTGGAATAATTATGACTCAGTATTAAATGGCAGCATACATTTTTAATTTTGCCACCTTCATTATCCATCAATAATATCTGAAATATTAATAGAAAATATATTTATGTATAACAATTTTACTTGGTTGTCTAAATCTATATTTGATATTTTCAATTGTAACATAATTTTATTCAATTCTTTATATAATACTCTAAAAATTATTATTATATTTATTGTGAAGTTTATTGTTGCTTACATCTTGTTTGGAAGGGTTTTATTTTGTATTTGGAAGTAAAGCTCTAAATTTATTTTTTGAATGCGTTGACAAGCTTCCTCAATATCAAGTGTCAATTTATCAACAACAAATGGTTGCATATCATAGGGGATTATAAGCTATTTTTATGCAAATAGATTTTCTGAGAATAAATTTTTTTACCTTCATATTAGATTGAAAAAATTTATTAAAATAATTGGAAGAAAATAATCTTTCTTCTAAACCACCTTCCATGCCATATCTCTTAATAACTTTCTTAACTTTATCAAGAATGGTTACATTTTTAGTATCATCAATATTTGACAAGCAAATCTCTCTTTTATAGAGAGAAGAATTTTTAATCATTATTATTAAATTTTCAGGGTTTGTGGTATATATTTCTCCCTTAAAGCAAAAATATAATTAACATTTCGTATTCTTATTAAACTTCATCTTGATGCAATTTGTGAGGAGCTTTGAGAATTGTCAATTCAGGAAGGTAATAGCTAAAATAATATATTTACTGATTAAATATAAATTGTTACATGGCCATTTGATCAACTTTAAATTGAATAGTGCCAGGCTTAAGTTCTGGCTTGATAATAAAATGTTGGCATTCCTAATAATTTTTTAAATATTTATAAATTTTAGAGAACTTCAATTTATATAAGTGATTTTTATATCAGGGTAAACTTGGACCTTCCGTATTTACAATGGACCCAAACTCGGACCCTTTTTAAAAGTGGAGGGTTCCAGGTAATGTTGATTGGTTGAGTTCTTCCCACTAAACAAGGAAATCGACTAATTTGGGAATTTGCTAATAATTTTATTTCTATTATATTTCTTATTTATTTTAATTTGTTTATTTTTAGCGCCTAGCTGGCATCAAATCTAATATTTTTTTAAAATTATTATTTCATTAATAAAAAAATGGTTAGATTTTATATATTTAATTAAAGATTTTAGTCTTAGTCGACTAATTTAATGGCTAAAGTTTTTAGACGAATTTTTCAACTATAACTATTAGTTAGTGGTTTATAAGGTCGACTAAATTTAGTCAATTAACAACACTAGTTGTAGGTGTCAAAATAAATTAGAAATTTTTTTTAAATTCATGAAAAATAAACTTTTTTCTTTGCATTTTCAAAATTTTCTTGTTTTTAGTATTTTATTATAAATGATACTTTATGTTATATAGGAATAGGTGGCTTATCTTGTTTTAGAGATGGGTGATATAATTATTAGGACAATGAAGGTTCAATTAGTCTATAGGAGATAATATAGGATTTATCCATTAAAATATATAACATCACGTGTGCATCCTAGCTATAATGTCCAAAAATTAATCACATTAAAACTATTATTGATAAAACAAGGGGTTGTAAAATATTTAAGAACTAATATTAAAAACAATGAAAAGGCTAACAGCAATTTTGGAGATTTCTGTATAGATTTTATAGGTACATGTAAAGTTGTATCTGTATATGAGAATCAAATAAAGGACCTTGCTGTTGTATTGGAACCTTTAAAAATAACATTAAGATTGCAATCAGAACAATTGTGTGTATCTGATTTTTATGGCATATGGGTTAGATGCTGATTAGATTTAGAAAAATTAACTAGTTCTTTTTCATATAATATAATGGAAAACATGAAATTTCAAGAGCAAAACTATTTGCAAAACAGTGTAATATATGTCTATATATTTAGACCAGATTCTATATTCATCAAAAACAGATGGCTGAAGGCCATCTTAAAGATTATGGCATAAGCAATACTCAATTCTTTACAACATACTAGAGGCTACTACCCCCATCTAATGCTGTACTGATAATAATGATAAAACTGTTGATGATTTTAAAAATTTACTTTTAGATGAAAAGAAAATTAACATAAAGGAGGAACCACAAATTCTTACTAGATCTTTAATCAAAAAGTTCTCACAGGTTATGAGAATTGATAAGGAAGAAAATATTTAAAATCCTGGAAAAGAATTCTTCAATATATTTAAAACAATATTTCCTATCTAGAATTGTCACCAGCCACAAATAAATAATTCATAATGTATTAATAAGGTGGATATTTATTTTAGGCCAGCATAATGTGCATTGTTTCTTTGAGATACATATTGTCAGATATATGTAAATCTCAAAGATGAAGATGTTATGATTGTGTGATTAAATAAAATCAATATAAAATAATTTTTAACTTATATAGAGTATAAAATATAAATAATTGAGTCAATATTTTTTATGTTCTCTAAACCCTTTTTTTAAATTTTATTCCTGCACCTGGAACCTTTTTTTTGTCAAAGAGTATACATCCCTGATATTTATATTCTGAAGCACAATAATTGAAATAAAAAACATTTGGAAGATAGCAATATTAAGAAGCTCATTTATTTAAAATAACATTGCATCTTATTGTAAGTTTGGTTTGAAAATGAATTCTTGAAGGAGATAATTTATCAATTGTTGTAGGCTGTGTTGTAATATTTTTATATCTTTGTTCTAAACTAGATACTTAAAAATATAAAAAAATAATTTATAATTTAATATAAAAAATATTTACATGCATTTAATGATGATACATTATCAGGAAATTTATTATTTATTAGAGTGCCATATTCTGGTTCAAATATATCACATGCCTTTGAAATATCAATTTCTCTATAAAATTTAATAAACAATTAGTTTTAATAAAAATAATTTGCCTATTAGGTACTGTGCTTACTGTGCCTTTCAAAAAATCAGACTGAACAAGGTTAAAATTGTATATATCAATTTACCATATAAAATCTTGATCTTTTGAAATTATTTTCATAATAAATATTATTTTTTAAATTCATAGTTTGATAATAATTGATAAGTTCTTCAGTCTTTAAAAGTAAAAGCTAAAATAAAAAAAAATATAAACAAACTTTTTTAGCAATAAGTTCATTAAAGTTTTCAGAATCATTTGATAAGGAAGAAGCATCACTAGTCATTATTTTACTAATTTGCTGATTTTTGTTACTCCAATAACATGCTTCACAGTGTAAATAATAAAATTTATGTAAATTTTCAGTTGATATTTGATTTGATAAATCAGAAGACAAGGGTTTGACTGATCCTTTAGTAACTAAAATACTAAAGCATAATGGGCATTGGTAACAATTTGAGCACCTAATTTAAAAAAACTATAAAATTTTTTTTTTTATTAGATACATATTATTTTTAATCTTAGCTTCTGTAGATGGCACATTTTCTAAACAATGGGGACAATAATATGAATCAATCTGTTTTACATGTAAAATAAAAAAATTAAATATAATTACACCTCATATTTCACACAATTTCGGCATCTTATTTTAGCACAGTGTCGACAAAAATATAAATTTACTAAAGGCAAATAGATACCGCAGGTGCATAAATATTTAACTTTCATATTTTGACCGAATCTTAATAATATTAATCAGATGATATTTTAGCTGGTCGAAATTTTTTGATGTCAATCTTCATTATCTTAATAGGGAGAAATGAAATCAGCAACCATCAGTGTAGCTCGGTAGCTTGAACATATTTTATCGAGGATGGTAGGGTTGCGAAAATTTTTATTTCGCTAATCAAAAATTTTGATTAAGTATATCTTGCTTACGTCCAATGCTGACTTTTCATAGCAATTATATATTCTGGGTTAGGCATGTCTATGTAAAAGTGTACCGGTCACTCTTACTCAAGCAAAAACATAACGGTTATATTAATTATTCTTTTATATCAAAAAAATTAATCGTTACGTTACCGTTATTCTAAACATATAACTGTTACAAAAGCTCTTCGCTATATTAAAAAAAAATTAATTATTCATTTTACTGTAAGTTTTACATATAATATCAGGCAGTAAATAAACTCTAGTTTATTTATATTTTATTCATAGAAAATATAACAATAAAATATATTATTTTTATGAGTTTTTTAAAAGAACTAATTTTTCAAATAGAACATTCATTGGCGTACGCAGCGGGGGGGGGCAGGGGGACAACTCGCCCCCCCCCCCCAAGCCAAAATGCAGATGCAGGACATATTTTTCAAAAATATTATTTTTTATATTTTATTATAATTATTCATATCTATTTCTTTTTAAATTTTTATATTATTACCTTTTTCATTTACTAATTTACTTTATCAATTAATTTCATTTTCAAGTTTTCCTTGTGGCGTAATATTTATCTATTATTTTTAAATTTCCCGGTATTATAATTTTCAAATTTCTAGTCATGGATATTAAACTTTTTTTAAAAAACGCTGAAGGTGAAAATCATGCCAAAAAGCAAAAAAGTAGAGTATGATAATTTAATAAACAAAAGCTGTGAACTGATGATTTCCTCAAAAGAATCAATTCAATAGGGGGATATGATTCCCATTTCATCAATAATTGATAAAAATACGGTTAAAATTGCAAAAGAGAATAGAGGCAAGAAAACTAACTATTGAGGCTATTTTATATTGTGGCTTGCAAGGCCTAGCACTACGTGGCCACAAGGATTCAGGAAGCTTAAATTTTAATAATAATGATAACGAAGGTAATTTCCGTGGACTTTTAAAATTTAAAGCATTAGGAGATCCTGTATTAATGGAGAGGCTCATTAGTACCAATAAAAATGCTACTTATCTCAGCCCTAGGATATAAAATGAGATAATTTATATTTGCAACAAATTTTATAAAAATTGATTTTGAAATCAATTCTGCCCCATGCTTCTCAATTTTGGCAGATGAGACCACGGACATTGCATTGAGCAGATGTCGTTGTGTGCGCGATATGTAGATACTCATAAAAACATTATCAAGGAAATGTTTCTCCAAATTATTCCTGTTTCAAGCATGACTGGGTCTGCTTTAGCTGATGTAATATTTGTGAATCTTGAAAAATTAAAAGTAATAATTAATCTTAATATATAATTATTTTAAAAAATATAGCTAAATATAAATATGATACGTGGGCAAGGGTATGATGGAGCACGTGCAATGAGTGGACAATTCAATGGGCTGCCCAACAGCTATATATGTCCACTGTGCTGCCCATTCACTCAACTTAGCAATATCGGATTCATGTTCTTTACCATTGATATCAAATTGCTTAGGTTTTTAATTATTAAAATTAAATTTTTTATATTTATATCAGGTAAAATATCTAGCATCTATGAGATGTTTAGATACTCCAAGCGTCAAAATATTTTGAACAGAATTATATCTGAAACTCCTTGCCAAACAAGGAGAAAAAAATTGCAAAAAGCTTGTCCAACAAGATGGAGTCTTCGACATCAAGCAGTAACTTTTATCGAGTTAGAAGAGCCAATTATTAATGCTCTTACAGAAATATCACAATGGTCTGAAAGAGATATTTCTTCAGAAGCAAGCAAGTTACTGGATTCAATACTTATACCAAATTTTTTTTTCGCATTAGAATGTAATAATAAATTAAATAATTATACAACTATTTTATGTAATACTTTTCAAAAACCTGATATTGATTTGATTGAGATGATGAGAATAGCAGAGACAATTTTATTAGAACTCAAAGAAATTAGAGCTAATGCTGATGAGGAATTTCATATTTTATATGTTAACGTTGAATCAAAAGCAGAGCTATACGAGTTCAATATTTGTCTCCCTCGACTTACAGTAAGGCAAACTTATCGTCCAAATATTAATATAGGGTCAATAGAAGAATATTATAAAATAAATGTCTTTATACCTCTTTTGGATACATTTATAACCCAAGTAAATGAAAGGTTTTTAATTTATCAAGAAACACTTATCAATCTGCAGATATTACATTCGCAAAAGCCCTCTGAACCTTTATCAGATGGTGATAGTAAAAAATAAAATATTTGGAAGATTTTTATCATGAAGACATTAATGTATCTCATGATGCTTTATTAGCTGAATGCCAACTATGGTATAAAAGTTTAACTATGGTTGATATAGTCCCAAAAAATGCTATGATGCTTTGCATCATTTCAAACATCTTTTAGATTATTTTCCCAATATATTGAAATTATTATATATATTAGCAACTCTTCCTATTAGTACTGCAACTAATGCGAGAACATTCTCTTCTTTAAGAAGATTAAAAACGTACCTAAGAAGTACAACTTCTGAATGTAGGTTGAATGGTCTGGCCCTTTTGAATATTCATAGGCATTTGACGCCAAACACGGATGAGATAATTGAAAAATTAGCTCCCTCCCAACGAAGATTGGATTTTACATTATAAAAATATAATGTTTCTATAATATTTTTTGTGCTATCATTTTTTAATGTCTTATATATTTTTCTTTTACATAAATAATTATTTATATTTCCAACATTTCGATTTTTTATACTTTATATATAAATTTTAAAAGCTCAAAAAAATTTAAATTTCTATTAAGGATTATTTATTTTATAGTCATCATATCCTGGTTATATTTCAGATTTATTTAAAGTATTTATATGCCGCCGGTTATATTCGTTTAATATTTTTTAAATCAAATTTATTTTTATATATCGGTTTATATATTTAATTTTTTATAATTCATATTAATTTAAATTTGTATATTAGAAATAGTTATTAGTACTAATAAATTTATGCTTGATATTTTTAAATAACAATAATTTTATTTTAAAAAATTTTAATTATCCCCCCCACACCAAATTCCTGCGAACGCTACTGAGAACATTATTTAATCTACTCAGCAGGCCTATAAATTATATTATCAAAAGAAAAAATTCTAATGCAGACAACTGTATATATTTGTCTAAAAATATTTTTTAATGATTATTGATGCAATTGAAAAAATTCGCTTATTAAATTTAATAAAATTGGATAAGGCAAAATAAATTATAAGCATTTTTATTGATGTCCTTTGAAAAAACAATTTATTCAAATTGTACTAGACAAAATTCTTGCTTATTTACGCTAAGTTCAAAATGAATACTATTCTACTCCTCGTAGGCGTAGCCGGGGGGAGGGGCAAGGGGAAATCCCCCCCCCCCCCCAGAAATTTATCCTTTTTGTATCATTTTGTGTTAATAAAAAATATCCCCCGTAGTCCTCGCTCTTACTCCCTGACCCCTAAAAATGTATGCATATATCTTAAACAATATTTTGAAAGGAGAATGTAAAAGTTTCATCATAATTTATACATTTTTGGGAAAAAGCATTTATATATAAAAAAAGTGAACCAAAATTGTTTTTTAAGAAATGGAATAATAAGCCAAAGATAAGTCTTAAGACAAAAGTGAAATGTATTATAATTATTAATAATAGATCTATAAAATTACTAAATAATATAATATATCAAAAATAATTTTTTATAATGTGAGTTATTTTAATTTATTTATCTTAATAAAAGTAAAATATAATTATAAAACTATTGATAAAATTAAATCATAAATTAAATTAAAAAAATTAAAGCACGATACAAACAGTGGAATATTATATGTCGTAGATTTACATTATATCTTATTTTATCAATTAGGATCGTTCGTTTAAAATAGGTATTTAAATACAACAGGCAACACCTTTCGGAAATGGGGACAAATTTATCTACAAATTTATGCACTCTCTTACTAATTAGGAAGGCAACTCCTGACCAACCATTTAAGGTAGTGCCCGAACTATATAGTATAAATTTATTAAAGTTGGCCATATTGTTGTCTTTAGAATGGGTTTCTTGAATCGCTATTATATCCATTTTCTCCTCCGCCATTAGCCTAAGGAGAACCGTTAACTTGTTATTTAAGCCATTTATATTAAGCGAAGATAAGAGTAAGTTTCCCTTTAAACCTATCGGATGCTCCATATCGGTATATTTGTTTGAATCCAAGAAGTTAAAATCGACGTAAAAAGGAAAATCTTCCTAATTAGTAAGAGAGTGCATAAATTTGTAGATAAATTTGTCCCGATTTACGAAAGGTGTTGCCTGTTGTATTTAAATACCTATTTTAAACGAACGATCCTAATTAACATTTATGCTTTCCCCAACAGAGATGATAGGCTCTCCTTTTTAGACCATCTTGAAAACATTGTATGTTATCTTCCTAAGAGCCGCAACTGGATAATTTTGGGGGACTTGAATATCAGGATTGGGAAGGAGGAGTTTTACATACATGATGGAGTAATTGGGAATGCGGCCATTCCCCAACCAAATTGCGGAGATAGTAGAAAGCTTTTGGAGTTGTCCCCTCAAAATCGAGAACACTTTTTTCTTAAATGAAAGTAATACTTTTACTTATAGGAGGAACAATATTACTTCTCAAATCGACTTTTTCATTTCCAACATTCATGGTTGGTTTACTGATGTAAAAGCAATGCGGAATATAAATATTTCAGATCACAGTTAATCAAAGCGAACCTCCTCATAAAGAATTTATGGGGGAACTCTCAACGCCTCCCCATATATAATCAGCCCAGATTTTCTCCCTGGACAACTAATGCTA